GAATTCTGGCCCCTCACGAGGCCCCCGCTCGAGACACCCTCCAATGTTGCAAAACCAGCGTTTCGCTCGAGACATCCTCAACAAATGATGAGAAAGAAGCATTTCGCTTGAGACACCCTGTCAAAATTTAAAGAAATCCTGGAAAAACGAACGAATTAGTCGAGACATCCTCGAAATTCCTGCGCGCGGGACGCGGCACGAGTGAGACATCCTTGGAATTCCTGCGCGCGAGGCGCTTTTCCGCGTCGCGGTCGGCTCTGCAAAACCAGCGTTTCGCTCGAGAAATCCTTAACAATTTCTGAAAACAAGCGTTTCGCTCGAGATATCCCCTAATTTTGCAAAACCAGCGTTTCGCTCGAGACATCATCAACAAATTCTGAACATGATCGACCCCACGGAAAAAAAAAAAAAAAAAAAAAGAAAAGGCAAAAAAAAACCACCGCTCCCCCCAGGGACTAACCCGTAAATGAATTTATAACTGTAAGCTCTCGCATTTCCAGCGTTTTCAAAGACACTCTGATTGGTGACGGGGCAAATTCAATACTGAATGGTATCGATCTTGAGTCCCCTGCCGTATAGTTCTGTTCTGTGCTGCGCCGTGCTGAATTGCGATGTGACATGGCGCGACTGTGCTCTATAGCCTCGTGGATCGAGTCCTCCTTTGCATCCGAGTCCTGACCGAACTGATCTGGATCTTAAGCTCGAGCTGCCTGAACACATAGTAGCTGCCCCAGAGCTAATTGACAGGGGGACATGCCAGGAGGACGCGCCGCGAAACGTCCCCAAGGGATGCGCCAGGCGACGTGCCAGGGGACGTGCCATGGGGTCGCACCGCGGGACGTGCCAAGGGGACGCGCTACGGAACGTGCCAATGGATGTGCCACGGGATGTGCCAGGGGACGCGCGACGCGACGTGCCAGGGGGACTCGCCAAAGGACGCCCCACGGAACGTGCCAAGAACGTGCCAAGTTGCAATGCTGAGTGCATCGACCTTGATGTACCGTGCCGAAATCAGTGCTGTGCTGCGCCGTGCTGAATTGCGATGTGCCATGGCGCGATTGTGCTCTATAGCCTCGTGGATCGAGTCCTCCTTTGCATCCGAGTCCTGACCGAACTGATATGGGATCTTAAGCTCGAGCTGCCTGAACACATAGTAGCTGCCCCAGAGCTAATGGACAGGGGAACATGCCAGGAGGACGCGACGCAGAACGTCCCAAGGGACGCGCCAAGCGACGTGCCAAGGGACGTGCCATGGGGACGCACCGCGGGACGTGCCAAGGGGACGCGCTACGGAACGTGCTGGGGACAAGCGTTTCGCTCGAGACATCCTGTCAAAATCATTTGAATTCCTACGCGCGGGACGCTGCACGCGCGAGACATCCTCGGAATTCCTGCGAGCGGGACGTGAAAACAAGCAGTTCGCCTGAGACATCCTTTGAATTCTGGCCCCCCACGAGGCCACCGCTCGAGACATCCTCCAATTTTGCAAAACCAGCGTTTCGCTCGAGACATCCTCAACAAATTATGAAAAACAAGCGTTTCGCTCGAGACATCCTGTCAAAATCCCAGGAAATCCAAATACCCGCGCGCGGGACGCGGCACGCGCGAGACATCCTTGGAATTCCTGCGCGAGGGGCGCTTTTCCGTGTCGCGGTCGGCTCTGCAAAACCAGCGTGTCGCTCGAGACATCCTCAACAAATTCTGAAACCAAGCGTTCGTGCTCGAACATCCCCAACTCTGCAGAAACCACCCCCCGCCCCCCCCCCCCCCCCCCCCCCCCCGACCCCGCGGCGTAGCTCGCTCGGCGTGGCGGGCGCGTCTCAACAAATTCTGAAAAACAAAAGGGAGGGGGCGTTTCGCGTCGAGACTCATCAAAAAGTGTCGTGTTCGCCGGCCCTACTCCGTGCGTGCCCGCTCGCAAAATAATTTCGCCGGCCCAAGTCGCAGGGGGGCCGGGGGGTTAACCAACTAAAAGAGAACCCTGGGCCCACGCCCTTTCCGGGAAAAACAAGCGTTTCGCTCGAGACATCCTCCCAATTGATTCCGCCGGCCCACCTCGACCTCGAAAATTATCAGGAAATAATTCCGCCGGCCCACCTCCCGCATGGCACCAGGGACAGGTTTACTACTAAAAGAAACATGGGACAAAGCCCTTGCCGGGAACATGATCGACCCACGAACCCGGAAAGGAATATAGAAATGTAAGGCATGGCGCAACGTTTCAAAGACACTTGATTGGGCGACGGGCAAATGCAGTGCTGAATGTACAGATCTTGATGTACTGTGCCGAGGGCTGTGCTGTGCTGGCCGTGCTGAACTGCGATGTTCCACGCCGCGATTGTGCTCTATATAGCGTTGTGGATCGAGTCCTCCCTGGCATCCGAGTCCTGACCGAACTGATCTGGATCTTAAGCTCGAGCTGCCTGAGCAGATGGTAGCTGTCCCAGAACTAATCGACAGAGGGGACATGCCAGGAGGACGCGCCGCGGAACGTCCCAAGGGACGCGCCAGGCGGCGTGCCAGGGGACGTGCCATGTGCACGCACCGCGGGACGTGCCAAGGGGACGCGCTACGGAACGTGCCAATGGACGTGCCGCGGGACGTGCCAGGGGACGCGCCGCGCGACGTGCCAAGTGGACTCGCCAAAGAATGCGCCAAAGAACGTGCCAGGATGCAATGTTGAATGTATCGATCTTGATGTACCGAGCCGACGGCTGCGCTGTGCTGGCCGTGCTGAACTGCGATGTAGCATGCCGCGATTGTGCTCTATATAGCGTTGTGGATCGAGTCCTCTTTGCATCCGAGTCCTGACCGAACTGATCTGGATCTTAAGCTCGAGCTGCCTGAGCAGATGGTAGCTGCCCCAGAACTAATCGACAGAGGGACATGCCAGGAGGACGCGCCGCGGAACGTCCCAAGGGACGCGCCAGGCGGCGTGCCAGGGACGTGCCATGTGCACGCACCGCGGGACGTGCCAAGGGGACGCGCTACGGAACGTGCCAATGGACGTGCACCGCGCGACGTGCCAGGGGGACTCGCCACGGGACGCTCCGCGGAACGTGCCAGGCAACATGCCAAGCTGCAATGCTCAAGGTATCGATATTGATGTACCGTGCCGAGGGCTGTGCTGTGCCTGGGCGACCTGGACACGTGAAAACACGCGTTTGGCTCAAGACGTTCTTAGCACATCCTCACGCTAGACATCCGCCTGGGCAACCTGGACACGTGCAAACAAGCGTCTCGATCGAGACTTCCTCGACACATCCTCATGCTAGACATCCGCCTGGGCGACCTGGACTCGTGAAAACAAGCCTCTGGTTCGAGAAATCCTCAACAAATCCTCGTGCTAGACATCTGTCTGGGCAACCTGGAGGCGTGAAACCAAGCGTCTCGCTCGAGACACCCTCAAGACCTGGGCACGTGAAAACAAGCATTTCACTTGAGAGATCCTCTGAATTCAGGTCCCCAGGAGAGGACAATATTTAACACAAAATAAGCGTTTTGCTCGAGACATCCTCAACAAATTCTGAAAAACAAGCGTTTCGCTAGATCGATACCACATACAAATAAACTCTCGACGTTCCTTTCCGGATCCCAGGACGGATCCAGGAGGCCCATGTTAGATACCCCCTGAGTGGCCTGGACACGTGAAAACACATGGTTCCAGCTCGGGACCACCATGTTAGATACCCCCCTGGGTTGCGTGGACACGTGAGAACACGCGGTTCCAGCTCGGGACCACCATGTTAGATTCTCACCTGGGAGGCCTGCACACGTGAAAACACATGGTTCCAGCGCGTGACCACCATGTTAGATACCCCCTGGGTGGCCTGGACACGTAAAAACACGTGGTTCCAGCTCGGGACCTCCATGTTAGATGCCTCATGGGTGGCTTGGTTCAAGCTCAGGACCACCATGTTAGATACCGCGGAGGGTGGCGTGGACACGTGAAAACACGTGGTTCCAGCTCGGGATCTCCATGTTAGATACCTCATGGGTGGCTTGGACACGTAAAAGCACGCGGTTCCAGCTCAGGACCACCATGTTAGATACCCCTCTGGGTGGCGTGGACACGTGAAAACACGCGGTTCCAGCGCGGTGCCACCATGTTAGATACACCCCCTTGGTGGCCTCGACAAGTGAAACGCGTGGTTCCAGCTCGGAACCAACATGTTAGATACCCAAATGGGTGGCCTGTACACGTGAAAACACGTGGCTCCAGCGCGGGACCACCATGTTAGATACACACCTGTATGGCCAGGACTCGGGAAAACGTGGTACCAGCTCGGGACCACCATGGTAGATACTACCCACCTGGGTGCCCTGTACACGAGAAGCGACGTGGTTCCAGCTCGGGCAGAGCATGTTAGATACCCCCCTTGTGTGGCCAAGGAAATCCTCGAAAAACAAACGAATTGGTCGAGACATCCTCGAACTTCCTGCGCGCGGGACGCGGCACGCGCGAGACATCCTCAGAATTTCTGCGAGCGGGACGTGAAAACAAGCATTTCGCCTGAGACATCCTCTGAATTCTGGCCCCCCACGATGCCCCCGCTCGAGACATCCTCCAATTCTGCCAAACCAGCGTTGCGCTCGGGACATCCTCAACAATTTCTGAAAAACAAGCGCTTGGCCTGAGACGTCCTCAAAAATAATTCCGCCGGCCTCCTTCAAACTCGTCATTTATTGCAAAATAATAATTCCGCCGGCCTCCTTCAAGTCGAAACCCAGGGTAACATTACTATAAGAGAACCCTGGGCCTACGCCCTTTCCGGGAAAAAGCTCACACCAGACCCCGCAACGACAGGACTGCACGTGCTCCGGACGTGAACCCCGCGAAGCGAGAAGAACCTCCTCGACGCGAGGGGCCGCATGTCTTGGGCACTTCATGACGAGTATGAGAAAGATGCGACTACTACAGCGAGGCCCACTCGCGCGCTGCCGGCTGCTGGGCGTCACCGCTGAGCTCCGCCGGCTGCCCCGACCCGGAGGAGGCGCCGCTACTGGAAGCGGCACTGCTGGCTGGGTGCTCTTGGACGATGCCAGCCATGTACCAGACTGGTCCGATGCACGCGCGGCGGTGTCCATCGAGCTGGCCTAGGCGATCGAAATTCTATCCATGTCCCTGCTCAGGCCCCGAACTTCGTCACGAGGGGCCAGAGCGGGGTTATGGATAAAATTCGGGCCTCCGAGGCACGTTTTTCACTCCATACGCTGCTGCATCTGGCGCCCCCAGTGGTGGTCAGAAGCAGGGGTATGGATCGAACGCCGATCGCCGATGGTCTAGACTGCATGGCTGCCGCCGTCCGATGCTTGCCGGGACCCTGCCCCGACCCCGTGCAAGCGCTCGACGGGGCCCTGTCGGCGGCCGCCCTGCGGACACTGTCCTCCCCGGGGCACGCGGCATCGGCGGCGGCCGCCGCAAGGCCGTCGCCCGCAGAGTCTTCGGCGCCACCGAGGGCGCCGTCGGGGCCGTCCAGCGGCGCGGCCGCCTCGCTGTCCTGGGCCTGTGCCTGCCGCTGCACGGCGCGGCGGCGCCGCGCGGCCACCCGCAGCTCCCGCCGCCGCACCGTCTTGCTGTTAACGACAACGCGGGGCCCAGGCTGCTGGTCGTCATCTGGCTCTGGCTGGGGCCGCAGGTCCCTGGTAGCACTTGCCGTCGACGCCGAGTCCTCGGCGCCGGAGCTGCTGGTGCTCCAGAGTCGGTGATGCAGCTCCTGAACGCCCTGCGGGGTTTGAGATCTCGAGTTGGGCGAGCTCGGCCTGCTGATGTCCGTGCAGGTGGGGCTCGAGCTGGTCGGCACGCTAGCAGGGTTTGCCAGCACAAACACAACGTCCTGCGGCGCCCCACGCGTCGAGGGGCAGGCCGTTGAGCTAGAGCCGCGCCCAGACCGCCTGGAGTCGGCGCCCTCTCGCGTTGGGCTGCCGTCCTCCGGGGCGATCTCTGTTCCTGGAGCGCGTTTGTTTATTCGCTGCGATAAGAAGCGCTATGGGGGGACCGGGGGGGCACTCCCGCCGCGCAGTTCCAGCGCCACCACAGCGTCCGCGCGCACGGCGACGACGACGACGACGACGAAGACGACGACAACGACGACGACGACGACGACGACGACGACGACGACGACGACGACGACGACGACGAGCGACGACGCTGACGATGACGACGACGACGACGACGACGAGCGACGACGACGACAACGACGACGACGACGACGACGACGACGACGACGACGACGACGACGACAACGACGACGACGACGACGACGACGACGACGACGACGAGCGACGACGCTGACGATGACGACGACGACGACGAGCGACGACGACGACAAGGACAGCGAGGACGACGAGCGACGCCTCCGCAGGTCTCCGGAGATTTCCCGAGGCTTCAGGAGGCCTCATGAGGCTTCTGGAAGCCTCCAGAGGCCTTCCGGAGGTCATCAGAAGGCCTCCAGATGCCATCGAAAGCATTCGAAGGCATTTGACAACGACGGGCGACCGCGAGCGATGACGACCGACGACAACGAAGCGCGACGACAATGACGACGACGACGACGGCGGCGGCGACGACGAGCGACGAGCGACGACGACCACAACGAGGAGTTGTGGCGAGCACATGCCTGCGAAGGCGTCATTGCCTCCACGTAGCGTATCAGAGGTATGCTCCTTACCCCCACCTCCATCCTCGTCGCCGTCGTCGTCGTCGTCGTCGTCGTCGTCGTCGTCGTCGTCCTTCTCCTCTCATTGCTTGCTCTCCCACGAACACCACAAGTGCCTGATAACACCGAAACTTGCCCGCGACCACCGCCCGTATGCGGATCTCTATGCGGATCCCTATGTGCATCCCTCCGCGGAACCCTGCGCGGAACCCTACGCAGATGCCTTCGCGGATGCCGATGCGAATTGCCATGCGGATCCCTGTGCGGATCCCTCTGCGGATCCCTATGCGGATGCCTATGCGGATACCTTTGGGGATCCCAATGCGGATCCCCACGCGGATCTCTATGCGGACCCCTATGCAGATCCCTATGCGGATCTGGAATGAAGATCCCTGGGAGTCCCAATGCGGATGCCTATGCGGATCCCGATGGAAATCTGAATGCGATTCCCATGTGGATCCCTATGCGGATTTCTATGCGGATGCCTATGCGGATCCCTATTCGGGTTCCTATGCAGATCCCTATGTGCACGGCGGCCGTGACGGGGGCGCACTGGGGGCCAGAGCGTCACGATAGAAGGGGGGCGGGGGCCATAACGCGCGTTATGGCCCGAACGATAAACCATGATCGACCCACGAAACGAAACCGGGAAGGAATATAGAAATGTAAGGCATGGCAACGTTTCAAAGACACCTGATTGGGCAACAAGCAAATGCAATGCTGATTGTATCGATCTTGATGTACCGTGCCGAAGTCTGTGCTGCGCAGCGCCGTGCTCAATTGCGATGTGCCATGCCGCGATTGTGCTCTATAGCGTTGTGGAACGAGTTCTCCTTTGCATCCGAGTCCTGACCGAACTGATCTGGATCTTAAGCTCGAGCACATAGTAGCTGCCCCAGAGCTACTGAGCCGGTGGACAGGCCAGGAAGACGCGCCGCGGAACGTCCCAGGGGACCCGCCAGGGGGCGCCAGGGGACGTCCCGTGGGGACGCACCGCGGGACGTGCCAAGGGGACGCGCTACGGAACGTGCCAGTGGACGTACCATGGGACGTGCCAGGCGACGCGCCAGGGGGACCCGTCACGGGACAAGCCACGGAACGTGCCAGGTTGCAATACTGAATGTATCGGTCTGGATGTACCGTGCCGAGGGCTGTGCTGTGCTGCGCCGTGCTGAACTGCGATATGCCATGCCGCGATTGTGCGCTATAGCGTTGTGTAACGAGTCCTCCTTTGCATCCGAGTCCTGACCGAACTGATCTGGATCTTAAGCAAGAGCTGCCGGAGCACATAGTAACTGCCCCTGGGCTAATCGACAGGTGGATATGCCAAGAGGATGCGCCGCGGAACGTCCCGAGGAACGCGCCAGGCGACGTGCCAGGAGACGCGCCATGGGGACGCACCGCGGGACGTGCCAAGGGGACGCGCTACGGCACGTGCCAGTGGACGTGCCACGGGATGTGCCAAGGGACGCGCCGCGCGACGTGCCAGGGGGACTCGCCACGGGACGCGCCACGGAACGCGCCAATGAACGTGCCAAGTTGCAATGCTGAGTGTATCGATCTTGATGTACCGTGCGAAGGGCTGTGCTGGGGCCTCCTGGGGCCCCCTGGAGCGTTAGGAGCCCATGTGGTTTCGCGCTTCTCCCGCCCTGGGGCGTCAAGAACCCATGTGTTTTCACGTTTCTCCCGCCCTGTGGCGTTAGGAACAATGTGTTTTCACGCTTCTCCCGCCCTGGGGCATTCGGAACCCATATGTTTTCACGCTTCTCCCGCCCTGGGCGTTAGGAACCTGTGTGTTTTGACGCTTCTCGGGCCTTCTGCGGCGTCCTGGGGGGCGGGGGGAAACGAAAAGCGCTCCCCGAATACATATCCAAATGCAGAACATACGTAACACAAGCATTTGACCAGGTCTGAATTCTGGTCCCCAGGAGGGGAACTATCTATAACACAAAACAAATGTTTTGCTCGAGTCGCAATGTCTTCCCTGGAGAGGCCCCCAAGGCGCCATCCCCTGTCCAGAGCAAGAAAACATAACTTTTCTGTATTGGGATATGGGTTCGGGTAGCGCTTTTCGGCCCCCGTGCGTTTCCTGATAATTCGGCGTTGGGCCCGACGCCATGTTAGATACCCCCTGGGCGGCCTGGACACGTACCAATTCGTGGTTCCAGTTCGGGACAAGTATGTTAGATACCCCACTGGGTGGCCTGGACATATAAAAAACACGTGGATCCAGCTCTGCGCAACCATCTTAGATACACCCCTGGGTGGTCTGGACACGTTAAAGCACGTGGTCTTTGCTCGGGACAGCCATGCTAGATACCCCCCTGGAAGGCCTGCACACGTAAAAACACCTGGTGCCAGCCCCCTGGGCGGCCTGGACACGTACAAACACCTGGCTCCAGCTCGGGACAACCAAGTTACATACACCCCTGAATGGCCTGGACACGTAAAAACACGTGGTCCTTGCTCAGGACAATCATGTTAGATACCCTCTTGGGTGGCCTGGACACGTAACATGATCGACCCACGAAACGAAACCGGGAAGGAATATAGAAATGTAAGGCATGGCAACAAGTTCAAACACACCTGATTGGGCAACAGGCAAATGCAATGCTGATTGTATCGATCTTGATGTACCGTGCCGAAGTCTGTGCTGCGCAGCGCCGTGCTCAATTGCGATGTGCCATGCCGCGATTGTGCTCTATAGCGTCGTGGATCGAGTCCTCCTTTGCATCCGAGCCCTGACCGAACTGATCTGGATCTTAAGCTCGAGCTGCCTGAACACATAGTAGCTGCCCCAGAGCTAAGTGACAAGGGAACATGCCAGGAGGACGCGCCAGGGGACGTGCCAGGGGACGTGCCATGGGGCCACACCGCGGGACTTGCCAAGGGGACGCGCTACGGAACGTGCCAATGGATGTGCCACGGGATGTGCCTGAGAACGCGCCACGCGACGTGCCAGGGGGACTCGCCAAGGGACGCCCCACGGAACGTGCCAAGGAACGTGCCAAATTGCAATGCTGAGTGTATCGATCTTGATGTACCCTGCCGAAATCTGTGCTGTGCTGCGCCGTGCTCAATTGCGATGTGCCATGCCCCGATTGTGCTCTATAGCGTCGTGGATCGAGTCCTCCTTTGCATCCGAGTCCTGACCGAACTGATCTGGATCTTAAGCTCGAGCTGCCTGAACACATAGTAGCTGCCCCAGAGCTAATTGACAGGGGAACATGCCAGGAGGACGCGCCGCGAAACGTCTCAAGGGACGCGCCAATCGACGTGCCAGGGGACGTGCCATGGGGACGCACCGCGGGACGTGCCAAGGGGACGCGCTATGGAACGTGCTGGGGACAAGCGTTTCGCTCGAGACATCCTGGCAAAACCCAAGGGGTTCTTCGAACAACAAGCGAATTAGTCGAGACATCCTCAACATTCCTGCGCGCGGGACGTGGCACGCGCGAGACATCCTCGGAATTCCTGCGAGCGGGTCGTGAGAACAAGCATTTCGCTTGAGACATTTTTGAATTTTGGTTCCCCACGAGGCACCCGCTCGAGACACCCCTTAATTTTGCAAAATCAGTGTTTCGCTCCAAACATCCTCAACAAAGTATGAAGAACAAGCGTTCCGCTCAAGACATCCTGCCATTATCCAAGGACTTCCTGGAATAGCAAACAACTTAGAAGCGACATCCTCGAAATTCCTGCGCGCGGGACGCGGCACGTGCGATACATCCTCAGAATTCCTGCGAGCGGGTCGTGAAAACAAGCATTTCGCTTGAGACATCCTCTGACGTCTGGCTCCCCACGAGGCCCCCGCTCGAGACACCCCTCAATTTTGCAAAACCAGCGTTTCGCTCGAGAAGTCCTCAACCAACTTATGAAAACCAAACAAGCGTTTCGCTCGAGGCATCCTGGCAACATCCAAGGACAGCCTCGACAAATAAACGAAGTAGTCGAGACATTCTCAAAATTCCTGCGCGCGGGAGGCGGCACGTGCGAGACATCCTCGCAATTCCTGCGCGCGGGACGTGAAAACACGCATTCCGCCTGAGACATCCTCTGAATCCTTGCACCCCACGAGGCCCCCGCTCGAGACAGGTCGAGACATCCGCAACACATTATGAACAACAAGCGTTTCGCTCGAGACATCCTGGCAAAATCAAAAGATATGCACGACTTAGTCGAGACATCCTCGAAATTCCTGCGCGCGAGACGCGGCACGCGCGAGACATCCTCGGAATTCCTGCGCGCGGGACGTGGAAAACAACAGTTCGCTTGAGATATCCTTTGAATTCTCGCCCCCCACAAGGCCCCCGCTCGAGACCCCCCCCCAATTTTGCAAAACCAGCGTTTCGCTCGAGACATCCTCAACAAATGATTCACACACATATCCTGGCAAAGCAACCTAACAGCGATGTGTAGGAGCATGTCTGGAAGCATTCCCCTTAAGATTCAGATGATAATCCAGTTGTACAAATTCTGCTGTTCTCGCAGTCGTAGTCGCATTCGCGATGACAGTCGCAGTGGCAACGGCACTCGCAGTCACAGCCTCAGCCTCAGCCTGCCTCAGCCTCAGCCTCAGCCTGCCTCAGCCTCAGCCTGCCTCAGCCTCAGCCTCAGCCTGCTTCAGCCTCAGCCTGCCTCAGCCTCAGCCTGCCTCAGCCTCAGCCTCAGCCTGCTTCAGCCTCAGCCTCAGTCTGCCTTCAGCCTCGGCCTCAGCCTCAGCCTGCCTCAGCCTCAGCCTGCATCAGCCTCAGCCTCAGCCTCAGCCTGCCTCAGCCTCAGCCTGCCTCAGCCTCAGCCTCAGCCTCAGCCTCAGCCTGCCTCAGCCTCAGCCTCAGCCTGCTTCAGCCTCAGCCTCAGTCTGCCTTCAGCCTCGCCTCAGCCTCAGCCTGCCTCAGCCTCAGCCTGCATCAGCCTCAGCCTCAGCCTCAGCCTGCCTCAGCATCAGCCTGCCTCAGCCTCAGCCTCAGCCTGCCTCAGCCTCAGCCTCAGCCTGCTTCAGCCTCAGCCTCAGTCTGCCTTCAGCCTCGGCCTCAGCCTCAGCCTGCCTCAGCCTCAGCCTGCATCAGCCTCAGCCTCAGCCTCAGCCTGCCTCAGCATCAGCCTGCCTCAGCCTCAGCCTCAGCCTGCCTCAGCCTCAGCCTCAGCCTCAGCCTGCTTCAGCCTCAGCCTCAGCCTTCAGCCTCAGCCTCAGCCTGCTCAGCCTCAGCCTCAGCCTCAGTCAGCTCAGCCTGCCTCAGCCTCAGCATCAGCCTGCCTCAGCCTCAGCCTCAGCCTGCCTCAGCCTCAGCCTCAGCCTGCTTCAGCCTCAGCCTCAGTCTGCCTTCAGCCTCGCCTCAGCCTCAGCCTGCCTCAGCCTCAGCCTGCATCAGCCTCAGCCTCAGCCTCAGCCTGCCTCAGCCTCTCAGCCTGCCTCAGCCTCAGCCTCAGCCTGCTTCAGCCTCAGCCTCAGTCTGCCTTCAGCCTCGGCCTCAGCCTCAGCCTGCCTCAGCCTCAGCCTGCATCAGCCTCAGCCTCAGCCTCAGCCTGCCTCAGCATCAGCCTCAGCCTCAGCCTCAGCCTCAGCCTCAGCCTCAGCCTGCTTCAGCCTCAGCCTCAGTCTGCCTTTAGCCTCGGCCTCAGCCTCAGCCTGCCTCAGCCTCAGCCTGCCTCAGCCTCAGCATCAGCCTGCCTCAGCATTCAAAATGTGGCCCGGGAATTGAATTCTAGGGACTCGAAGAACACGAAGTGGCTTACAATTGGCTCCGGGCATTCAAAATCATGCCCAGGAATGGAATTCTGGGAACTCGAAGACCACGAAGTGGCCTACAGTTGGCTCCGGGCATTCAAAATCATGCCCAGGAATGGAATTCTGGGAACTCGAAGACCACGAAGTGGCCTACAATTGGCTCCGGGCATTCAAAATCATGCCCAGGAACGGAGTTCTGGGAACTCGAAGACCACGAAGTGGCCTACAGTTGGCTCCGGGCATTCAAAATCATGCCCAGGAACGGAGCTCTGGGAACTCGAAGACCACGAAGTGCGCCACTGTTGGCTAAAAAAATCCCCGGATCCCGTCCGGCATCTCCCTGGGGAGTCATGATGCTCTTTTGACCCTTCAAAAAACCTATCAGTCTTCGCTGTTAGGTAAGAAGCGTTTCGCTCGAGACATCCTGGCAAAATCAAAGGAAATCCTGGAAAAATAAACGAATTAGTCGAGACATCCTCGAAATTCCTGCGCGCGGGACGCGGCACGTGCGAGACATCCTCGGAATTCCTGCGCGCGGGATGCGAAAACAAGCATTTCGCGTGAGACATCCTCTGAATTCTGGCACCCCACGAGGCCCCCGCTCGAGACACCCCCCAATTTTGCAAAACCAGCGTTTCGCTCGAGACATCCTCAACAAATTAAATAAAACAAGCGTTTCGCTCGAGACATCCGCTCAAAATCCAAGGAAATCCATGAACAACAAACGAATTAGTCGAGACATCCTCGGAATTCCTGCTCGCGGGACGCGGCACGCGCGAGACATCCTCGGAATTCCTGCGCGCGGGGCGCTTTTCCGCGTCGCGGTCGGGGCTCCAGATTTCGTTGTTTCTTTTTTTTTGTTCTCCTGAAGATTCTGCTAAAAGTGCCCCGCATCTTCTTTTTCACGAAGGAAAACGGTGGCCCCCGGACCTAATTATTTATCGAGGATCCGAGATGGGGGGTCGACTTTCCTCGAGCGGGCACGCGCGAAATGCATTTGTGTCACGCCGAATTTGATTTTACCTTGTTTTATATCGAGCGGAATTCCGCCGGCCCCCTTCAAGTCAAAACCGGAGGGTAGAACCCTGGGCCGGCGCCCTTTCCAGGAAAAACACTTGGTTCCAGCTCGGGACAACCATGTTAGATACCCCCCTGCGTGGTCTGGATGCGCTGAATTCGCGCTCCCGCTCGAGCCATCCTCGCAGTGTCTTCCCCGGAGAGGCCGCCAAAGCGCCACCCCCGTCCAGTGCAAGGAAATATCACTTCTCTGTACTGGGAGGTGTTCGGGCTGCGCTGTTCGGCCCCCCGTGCGTTTTGCTGATAATTCGGCGTTGGGCCCGACGCCATGTTAGATGCCCCCTCTGTTGGCCTGCACGCGTAAAAACTCGTGGTTCCAGCCAACCCCAGGGGAAATATCCAACATGCGGTCGTCTGGAGCGCCAGCGAGGGACAGCCGTGTTAGATGCCCCCTGGGTGGCCTGGGCACGTGAAGACAAGCATTTCGCCCGAGACATCCTCTGAATTCTGGCCCCCCACGAGGCCCCCGCTCGAGACAACCCCAAACTCTGCAAAACTAGCGTTTCGCTTGAGACATCCTCAACACACTGATATACAACAGCCGTTTCGCTAGGGACATCCTCAAGAAGAATTTCGCGGGCCCTTCGCGACTTCGTTACTTATCACAAATAATTGCGCTGGCCCAACAGCCGTCGAAACCGGGGGAAACCATTTAAAAGAGAACCGTGGGCCCAGGCCCTTTCCGGGAAAACACGCTCCTGCGTCGTGGGCGGTGGCCGCTGCAGACCGCGCCTGTCCATGAGGGAGGCGACTGTTCATGAAGGAGGCGCGGTTCACCTACTGGGCGCGCCTGTTAATGAGGGAGGCGCCCGCGAAGGCGAGACGCTCTGAGCCGGCTCCGCGGCGCTGGGAAACTCGATCGCGGGCCCCCCATGCTCCGTCGCCCGTGCGAACCCGAGGATGCTCGAGCCATGGCGGCTTGCACAGAAAGAGAAGGAGGACGAGGAGGTTGGAGGAGAAGCCACGGCGTATCGAAGGCCATGGCGGCGCGCCTCGCCATCAGGGGGCCAGCCTCGACAATATTGTTTTCCATTACTGCGCACTTACTTCCCTCTTACATCTTACATCTTCCTCCGTTGCTTAATCGTGACGTCAGAACTGCCGCTGATCGACCATGAGACGCCTTCATCGGCGACCTTGCGACGACAGTTCTGTCAATCAACACAAATGGCATGGACAGTGCGACAGGTACTTATACCAACATGGAAGGTACACTCATGACACCTACAAGCACCATGGTGAACATAATCCGGAATTCAGCATTCATAGAAGGTACGACAAGCACCACGGATGGCACGAGCACCACCAACAGCCAGACCAGCACAACCAGCATCACCAACGCTTCCAGCATTACCAGAACCAACACTACCATCACTACCAGCACTACGACGCCCCGCAACGACCTCGGCAGAACGACGACCAGCTTCGACACCAACAGCACGACCACCAGCACCACCAGCACAGCCAGTATTACCAGTACTACAACGTCCAGCACCGACCTCAGCAATACCACGGCCAGCACCATGACGCTCAGTACTACAACGTCAAGCACCGATCTCAAACTCGACCTCAGCGCTACGACGTACAGAACTATCAACACCAGCACCGCCCGCACCTCCAGCACCGACATCAGCAGTATGACGGCCAGCACTACGAGAATCCCCAGCACCACCATAATGAGCATGGCGAGCGACTCCAGCAGCTCCACGTTCAGTCCCAGAGCAGCTCGGCCAAAAGGAGACAACGCGACCGCCGTACACATAAAGTGCGCGCACACCTGGCTACTAAACATTCTACTACTCAACTCAAGACTGGCCTGCAGCCGCAAGTGCAACACAGCGACAACCAAGTGCACGAAACCTGCGTATTTCTTGGGCCACTCTTGCTACCCAGACTTTGGCAGCCGCCGCCTCCACCAACACACGCGCCGAGCATCAATAGCTGACCACAACAAGGGAGAAACAAGCAGCCACCGCCAGCACACCTACCGCGACCAGCACCACAAGAGCAATACAACGAGCACAGCGACCGACTGCAGCAGCTCTACAACGAGCACTACGACCGACTCCAACAACTCTTTAACGCGCAATGCGCTCTACTACAACATCTCCAAAGCTCCACCAGCGACGACAACACGACAGCTACGACCACCACGGCAGCGACTACAGCGACTCTCACGAGCAAACACACCACGGCGGCCACAACGGCAAGCAATCGCACCACGGCGGCCCTCACAACAGACACGTCGTCCACGACAGCGACTTCCACAAGCACCCACACCATGTCAAACGCCGCGACAGCCACGAGAGCCTCTACGGCGATTCTCGCGAGCAAGCGCACCAGCGCGGCAACGAAGACAACTACAGCGGCATCCACGACAAGCAAGCACACCACGGCGGCCACCGCGAGAGCCACAACGGCGACCCTCACGAGCACGCGCACAACCACGGCCACCACGACAGCCACGACAACGACTCGCACCAGCAAGCACACCACGGCGGCCACCACGACAGCCACGACAGTCACGACAGGGACTCGCACCAGCAAGCACGCCACGACGACTACCACGACAGTCACCACAAGCACGACAATGGCACTCAAGAGCAAGTGCGCCACAACGGCCACCACGACAGCTAATTACGACCGCCACCGCGGCACCCACGACAAGCAAGCACACCACGGCAACCACCACGACAGCCACGACAACTACTACAACGACCCCCACGAGCACTCACACCACGACTCCTACCGCGACAACTACCGCGACGGCCACGACAACGACTCTCACACGCAGCATGATCGACCCACGAACCCGGAAAAGATATAGAAATACACGACATGGCAACGGTTCAACCACACCTGATTGGGCGGCGGGCACGTGCAATGCTTAATGTATCGATCTTGACGGACCGTGCCGAGGGCTGTGCTGTGCAGCGCTGTGCTGAATTGCGATGTGCCATGCCACGATTATGCTCGATAGCGTTGTGGATCGAGTCCTCCTTTGCATCCGAGTCCTGACCGAACTGATCTGGAACTTAAGCTCGAGCTGTCTGAGCACATAACTAGTAGCTGCCCCAGAGCTGGTTGACAGGGGAACAAGTCAGGAGGACGCGACGCGGAACGTCCCAAGGGACGCGCCAGGCGACGTGCCAGGGGACGTGCCATGGGGACGCACCGCGGGACGTGCCAAGGGGACGCGCTACGGAACGTGCCAATGGACGTGCCACAGGACGTGCCAGGGGACGCGCCTCGCGACGGGCCAGGGGGACTCGCCACGGGACGCGCCACGGAACGTGCCAAGGAACGTGCCAGGTTGCAATGCTGAGTGTATCGATCTTGACGTACCGTGCCGAAGGCAGTGCTGTGCTTCGCCGTGCTGAATTGCAATGTGCCACGTGACGATTGTGCTCTATAGCGTTGTGGATCGAGTCCTCCTTTGCATCCGAGTCCTGACGGAGCAGATCTGGATCTTAAGCTCGAGCTGTCTGAGCACATAGTAACTGCCCAAGAGCTACTTCACAGTGGGGCATGCTAGGAAGACGCGCCGCGGAAAGTTCCAAGGGACGCGCCAAGCGACGTGCCAGGGGACGTGCCATGGGGACGCACCGCGGGACGTGCCAAGGGGACGCGCTACGGAACGTGCCAATGGACGTGCCACGGGACGTGCCAGGGGACGCGCCCCGCGACGTGCCAGGGGGACTCGCCACGGGACGCGCCACGGAACGTGCCAAGGAACGTGCCAGGTTGCAATGCTGAATGAATGTATCGATCTTGATGTACCGTGCCGAGGGCTGTGCTGTGCAGCGCTGCGTTGAACTGCGATGTGCCATGCCACGATTGTGCTCTGTAGTGTTGTGGATCGAGTCCTCATTTGCATCCGAGTCCTGACCGAACTGGTCTGGATCTTAAGCTCGACCTGCCCTAGCACATAGTCCACATAGTAGCTGCCCCGAAGCTAATTCACAAGAAAACATGCCAGGAAGACGCGCCGTGAAACGTTCCAAGGGACGCGCCAGGCGATGTGCCAGGGGACGTGCCCCGAGGACGCACCGCCAGACGTGCCAAAGGGACGCGCTACAGAACGTGTTGGGGACAAGCGCCGTGTTGGTGGCCTGGACACGTGAAAACATAGTGCCAACTTGGGACAACCATCTTAGATACCCCCTGGGTGGCCTGGACACGTAAAAACACGTGGTTCCAGCTCGTGATAATTATGTTAGAGGTCTCCCTGGGTGGCCAGAGCATGAACAAATAGTTGGTTCCAGCTCGAGACACCCATGTTAGATACCCCCCCTGCGTGACCTGGATACGCTGAATTCGCGGTCCCGCTCGAGACATCCTCACAACGTCTTCCCTGGAGAGGCCCCCAAAGCGCACCCCCCTGTCCAGAGCAAGAAACCATCACTTTTCTGTATTGGGACATGTGTTCGGATAGCGCTTTTCGGCCCCCCGTGCGTTTCCGCATAATTCGGCGTTGGGCCCGACGCCATATTAGATACCCCAACTCTGCAAAACAAGCGTTTCGTTCGAGACATCCTCAACCAATTCTGAAAACAAACGTTTCGCTCGAGACATCCTCTACAATAATTCCGGCGGCCTCCTTCAAAGTCGTCATTTCTCGCAAAATAAGAACGCCGGCCTCCTTCAAGTCGACTCCAGGGGTAAACCTCTAAAACAGAACCCTGGGCCCCCGCCCTTTCCGGGAAAAACACACACCACGACGACCCCCACGACTACCACGACAACCGCGACAGCGACTCACACAAGCAAGCGCACAACGACGGCCACCACGACAGCCATCACAGTTACCGCCGCACCCACGACGTGCAAACACACCGCGGCGGCCACCACGACAGCCACGATAGTAACCACAGCGACCCCCACAAGCATGCGCACAAACGGAGACTGGCTGCTTCATCTAATGGCGACTCATACTCTTCGACTCATCCGATCCACGCTTCGGGTGAACCGCTACAGGATGAGTTTGGTACCCGATGAGTTTGGTACCCGATGACTTTGGCATCAGATAGGCTTGACACTGAATGAATTTGGTACCCGATGAGCTTGGCACCGGATGAATTTGGCACCGGATGAAATTGGCACCCGACGAGTCTGGCACTGGATGAATTTGGTACCGGATGAGTTTGGCACCAGATGAGTTTGGCACCCGATGAGTCTGGCTTTGGATGAGATTGGCGTTTCCCGTCATGGTGTGAGGTCTCGTTAGTTGGCGGGTGCGCCAGTGGGGTGATGTCAGAGATTCTTCGACTGACTCGGTCGGAGAGCTGCGCTGTCTAGAATTATTCACTGCGTGGGGATCCCCATATGTGCATCTCCTTGCTGGCGCTCCCTTGGTGGTGGGACTCGGTGAGGACGAATCTGGATTTAAGTGTGACTGAGCTGCCTCTCTCTCTGCTCTCTCTGCTCTCTCTGTCTCTCTCTCTCTCTCTCTGCCCTCTCTCTGTCTCTGCCTCTCTTTCCCTGCCTCTCTCTCTCTCTCTGCCTCTCTCTCTGCCTCTGTCTCTCTGCTCTCTCTCTCTCTCTGCCTCTCTCTCTGTGCCTCTCTCTCTCTGCCTCTATCTCTGCTCTCTCTCTCTCTCTCTCTCTCTCTCTCTTCTCTCTATTCTCTCTCTGCTCTCTCCTCTCTCTCTCACTCTCCCCTCTCTCTCTCTCTCGCTCTCTCTCTCTTCTCTTCTCTTCTCTCTTCTCTCTCTCTCTATCTCTCTCTCTCTCTTTCTCTCTCTATCTCTCTCTCTCTC